TTTACAACATATAGCCTACATATATTTAGTGCTGTCAAACGATTAATCACATCCAAAATAAACGTTTTTGTTTACATACTATATGTATGTGTACTGTGTATATTTATTATGTATATATAAATACACACATACAGTATATATTTTGAAAGTATTTACATGTATATACATTTATATATTTATATTCTTATATTTAATATTATATATAAATATATTTAATATTTAACACTCGTATTTTTCTTAAATATTTTATATCACATATTTTTCTTAAATATATACATGCTTGTGCAGGCACGTGCACACATAGTCATAAAAGATATTTTGATGTGAGGATCGATCCTTTCGATACAACATCAGTATCGAAAGTATCAAGGATCGATCCGCCCATCACTACAGCACAGCAGTGTAGCGCACATTGATCGACACATGCGCGTCAGGCAGAGCCGCAGAAGTGAAGCCCTCCCTCCAGAGTTGCCCAGTCCACGTATTATACGCGACTTTGGGCTTCTTCTTTTGTAAAGTTGCGTGGAAAAAAATCCCGGGTCGCGGGTTGCGGTTTTTTGGATTTATTATAAAAAATATGGTTGCTTGTTAGGAAAACCTGACAAGCAACTTCGTTTCTTTTCATTTATGTTCACTGTAGTCTCCAGTGCATTGATTGACACTCTGTCTGCTCACAGTTAATAGCCAATCAGTGCAAAAATATAAGTGCTGTAGCGTAATTTGTCAAATATTCCGCCCCCTCCGCACGCGCCTTCTTTCACTGTAATCACAAATCGTCACTGCGTCACACAAATATTCCGCCCCCTCCGCACGCGCCCTTTTTTAGAAGGCGCGTGACGCTGTAATCCAAGCGATGATAGTAGTAGACGTAGAGTAGGATGACTTTTTTCCTTTATAAGGTAGCCTAATTTTTTATTTTTACAATGTTTTTGCAATGTATTAATTATCACAGGCTGTAAAAAAACAAAAACAAGTAGGCCTATACTAATACTAAGAGTAGATTTGGTTCGAATAGCCAATATTTTAGTAGGCTATAGCCTATAAATATGTGGCTATGTTACAGCTCCCCTTTGAAGCTCTTGTGTTTTTCTCCTTTTCCATCTGTCCAATCCTATTCTGCTCACAGGTGATTGGAGATGAGTTTTGTTCCTGCTTTTGTTGCAGTTTGCTGATTTTTGTAAAATAACTTATGTTTTTGCTTTTCAGATAAAAGGGTAGTTTCAGTTTAATATGTTGCGGGCTCATTTATTGGTAATAAATAATTGATAATAAATAATATTGATGATAATAAATTATCAAAAAATATT